TCAATGTGACCCCATATGATGCCATGTAATCTGACGCAGTTTGACACTGTCTTTTTGACACTGTCTTTTTGTCCGCAGCTCAAACTGAAGGTTGCCAGATGATCACACTGTCAGATGATCACGTTGTCAGATTCGATGCCAATCAGCATTGACTGTTACGTAAATCATGTTGTTAGGTGGCCACCATGTCACAGCTATGTGACAGGTCTCAGGTAAGGGTGAAACATTCAACTCACTTGTTCAGCCAGGAACTGCAGACACACAAAAACAAATTGAGGATTACCAGCATGTCATGGAGTGTTGAACACTGCAAGCACTCTTGGAAGACCAGCTAAGGCTGAAACAGGAGGAAAAAAAGCAACTGTCAACTGGCATCTGCCATCTGCCATCTGCCAGTCCACGGCCTGGGAAATTCATGCGGTCTGGAAGCCCACACAAATTCCTGAGATGTGACAGCTAGGGGTGGAACTTAAATCGGTCGTAGCCATGGGTCAGAAAGAATCACAAGCAGTTCAAGTAAAGATATCAGTTGAAACTGTTGAGATGTTAACTGACTTGTCAGATGAAACTAACAAGGGGGAAGCTTCCAGCACAATCTACCAGCTAGCTGAAGATGTCAGTTGAATCAGTCAGATGAAGCTAGACTAGGGCAAGCTTCCATCACAACCTAGTAGTCAAATATGTCAGTTGAAACTGTCGGGATGTCAGTTGAATTTGTCAGATCATTTCGAAAGGAAGTGAAGCTGCCAGCACAATTGTACCATCACAGATGCCAGCTGAAACTGTTTCAACTCTCAGTTGAATCTGTCAGATGGAAACTAGAAAGAGGGAAATGCCAGCACAATCTGCCAGTTAAAGATGTCAGTCGAAACCGAGAGATGTCAGTTGAATTTGTCAGATGAATTCAAAAAAAGTCAAGCTGCCAGCACAATTATACCACTGAAGATGCCAGTTGAATTTGTTTCAACTGTCAGCTGAAGATGTCAGTTGAATCTGTCAGATGAAAACTAGAGAGAGGGAAATGCCAGCACAATCTGCCAGTTAAAGATGTCAGTTGAAACTGAGAGATATCAGTTGGATTTGTCCGATGAAATTCCAAATTAAGTGAAGCTGCCAGCTCAATTTTTCCACTACAGATGACACTGAGAGATGTCAGTTGAATTGTCAGATTAAGCTAAAATGAGAGTAACAGGGCTAAAACTGCCAGCACAATCTACCGGCCCAACATTCGATGATGTGAAGCTTGGGAACTTCATCCTTCATAAACTTCTCTAAGTTTTGAGCACAGGGACATCCGCCAAAGTATGTCTGAACCTGGGCTCAGGCACACTCGGAATTCAGAATTTGTATTGGCACCCACCATTTGCATTCAATGTGAGACTGCATGAGAAGCACATCTATTTTTTCTTCATTTGCCATCATCTGCTGGATGCAACTTTTTGAAGATGTCAGTTGACGAAGATGTCAGTTGGGAATGCCAGTTGAATCTGCCAGTTGTTGAAGATGCCATGCAGTCTGTCATCAAGAAAAATGTATTGGTCTGAGCCGAAGACACAGTGGACGAAGCTCAAGTCCACAAACAGTGTCATGTGTTCCCTGCAGCATTGTCAGGACATGCGTTCAAAGCGGTTCACTGCTTTTCTCAAGACAGATGCAAATCACGCCTACATCACTTTTGCAAATCAAGACAAGAGCACACTGCAGAGCAGAACCATTTTTCTGTACAAGCCCCTCGTGTCATTTTGTCGTCGTAGAGGTTTCTTTTCACCATTAAAGTGAAGTAAAATGAATTCACACTGCTGTCATTTCATGGGTTAATTCCGGTGCAGCTGTATACACAACTGGCAACTTCAACTGGCAACTTCACTTTGAACCCAAAAAAAATCCTGCAGTTGATTCCAGCAAGGATTGCTAATTGTCACACCTGAGTTGGAAACACTTAAGATTTTGATGGCACACACACTCAGTATGATAGTTTTTTATTACAGTTTATTGAATTGGCAGTCCTTCCACTCAAACATTTCCTCCCATGTTGCCAAGGAGGTAAAAATGGTTTCCGCCTGGCTAGCAAGCACCCAGTGGTGTTCACCGTCAACGTAAATGTAGGCATAGAGGTACTCTGGGTCATCTGAGTCCACAATGCTCAAGCACGAAGGGGTGCGGTTGCTCAAAGGGAAAACCACTGCAGACCTGAGCACAAGGAACGTCATTGCACATACAGGCTTGGATACCGATCCAGTAAAGCAATGAAAAATCACCTACAACTTGGTGGCTTCCAAAAACCAAAACAGTAGCACCTAACATGGATGTGTTTTTGACTTTTTTCATATTAAGTTAGATTCCAGGTGAATATTTTTTTTCCAAGGAACATTCACCATTGTCAATCCTCCAAATATTGAATTATTGAAGCCTTTCCTCAGCCTCTTGGGTCAGCATTGGAATAATGGCATCGTCGAGGTGTGTGGTGTAGATGCTTTGCCTCCATATTCAAACCTCCAGATATTCAAAACTTTCGGCCTGGCTCAGGTCTGGAATGATCTCATCGTCAAGGTGAAAGGTAAATATGCTTTGCCATCTTCCAAAAAGATAGACTGTGATGAAGTCTCTTGGTTCTCCATGCATGTAGGCACTTGTTTTGAAGCAGGGACTTGCTGGCTGAAAAAACCACCGAGGAGCTTCAACCTCCAGTGGCGGAGGCTCCATATGATCCGTCAACGCTGCCAGATCTTCACACTCAGGCTCCTCACCTGGCTCTGCACGAGTAGTAGCAGCTGCTGCTGCAGGAACATAAGGTTTAAAAAACTGTCCAGAAGGGCCATTGTGCCAGGATGATGAGGATGAGGACGCCATTAACCAAAAAGGCCCATACGTCACAAAGCCAGGGCCAAAATTGCTACAACAAAGTGACATGCCATGCCATGCACCTGCCAACTGTTTACTCGAACATGCCACGCACAACTGTCCACTGTCAACTGCCAATTTCAATGAAACAACAAAAACCCTGCCCTATATGCCTTCCAAGTGTCTTTCCAAGTCAACTGCCTAGACCACTGGCTCCTTGCGACCTTGTCATCGGGCTAAATCAGGCTACAAATAATTGTATGCATCCAACTGGCGTTCACGTACTATTTGGTGTGATGTTCATGGCAGAAAAGGCAACCTAAGGCAAATAAAGAAGTCAAACTACTATATGTGCTTTGCTAGTTGCTGGTGCCAGTTGGTGGAAAATCAATGGTTTGCCCCGAAGCCAAATGAATCTCAGCACTCACTGTTGTTGCCAGTTGTTGTTGTCAAATAGTTTGCCTGTTTGTGAGCCAGCTGGTGATGCCTGTTGCTTACTGATAGGAGAAAATCCAAATGAATCTCAGAACTTTCTGCTGTTGTCAGTTGTTGTTGTCAGTTAGTTTGCCTGTTTGTAATGCCAGTTGTTGATGCCTGTTGCTTACTGATAGGAGAAAAACCATTGCAACCACCACCCAAGATGGAATTTAGAACAGCAAGCAGCTAACCTGGTAAGGTCAGGCACATCGAGAAGATTTTGTTGCAAAAGGTGGGACAGTGATGTTGAAGAATGCTGTTTTATTTTGTAGAACCCCCGTTTGGCTTAAGACTGCTTTTGCCGTTTTGGTGCAGGAGGGGGGGGGTATTGGTGCACGGCTGGTGCGTGGAAAAGGAAAATAGGGGCAAGGGTGAGTCTGGGAAGGGAAAAATAGGTGCGGGAGTGGGTTCTTGCCGATCTATGGATCCAGTCGGGATCTCGTCGGGATCCCGTCGGGACCCAGTCGGGCACCAATTTTTGCATTTTTGGGCACCGCTTTTGGCCAGTCGGGATCCAGTCGGGATCCAGTCGGGATCCAGTCTGGATCCAGTCGGGATCCAGTCGGGCACCAATGTCGGGAGGCATCCAAATTCATAAAAAATGCAAAATGTTTTTGCGCGTTTTTGTGTGATTTTGGCTGCTTCCCGACAGGTCCAAACGTGGTGCCAAAAATTCGAAAATTGGTGCCCGACTGGATCCCGACTGGATCCCGTGGATCCCGACTGGCCAAAAGCGGTGCCCAAAAATGCAAAAATTGGTGCCCGATTGGGTCCCGACTGGGTCCCGAGTGGGTCCCGACTGGGTTTCTTCAAAAAAACACCTATTTCCCTAAATTTGAGCACCTTTTTTTGAAATTTTAGCACCTTGCCGTGCACCACCCCCCCTCCGTTTCCCCCTCCGGACCCCCCCCACCAGTCTTAAGCCAAACACGGGCAACTCAAGTTTTATTGTCTTATCCATCCTGTGCTTTTCACACAGCGAATCAAAGATCATCTCACCCGGTTTTGGCTTCTCCCGTGTCGACTTGTAGCGATGCTCCAAAAAGTTGTAATATTGCCGAGCGTCTCAAACCCGCAAACAAACTGGAATGGCTGGGCATTTAAACATACAGGACATAAATTTCAGAAGCAATTGCTGACTCAAACTTCATCAACCAGAAGCAATGGTTTTTCATTCATGAAGTAATTTCATTTTTTGTTTTGATGCGATTAAACCAACGCGAATGTGAGAATCTGACAAGCCAGATTAGACTGAGAGCCATGAGACAGCTATATATAGCCTTTTGCAAGATGTGGCATGATAAATTGCCTTCCCTTGCGTGGCTACGTGGGTTTTCAGGCTTGAGCTTTTCAGAGAGACTTTTGAATGCGGCATAAAAGCATTAAAAACCAAATAAAAACAAACCGACTACTCGCGAGGGTTAGCTCGTTCATCGGTTATGCAGTCTCGCCGCAGTCTCTGCTTGCCTGTGGGGTGTAAAAACTCCTGCAGTAAAACCCTATGTCCCATGTACATCATATCGACTACCATAGCGTTGGTTCAAAACAGTGCTGACCGCTTAACGGTTTAGTGTATACCAGTTCCCCATTGTATATATTTATATATTGTGGCTGACATGGTAAACTACACTTTCCAGTAGTATTCAGAACCGCATCAACGAGATCAAAACCCCTCCGTGGAGGTGTTGAGCCTGCTGCTGAAGGCGCCTGCGAAGTCCGGCAGACGCCAGTCACGCCACTCCAGGATCTCGGCCGACGTGTCGGTGTCGCCAGCGCCGCCGCCGATGCACAGCAGACCCCTGGTGCCCCGGGACAATGGGAGGTATATATGTATTATATATATAATTATTTATATAGGTAATATATATATATATACAGTATATACATGATTATATAATATTATTTATTATAGGATTACAGGGGATGTGGACACGAAATCCAGGAGTATCATGTATTATCAAATGATCGTCACTGTGGCAATTTTGGTGGAGGAATTAGACATGTGTGATACATCAGTTCCACCAGGGGAAGAACAGTTTTACGCCAAAGCTCTTCAGTTCCTTGGCATTGATGGTTGGGACAGGAAGGCGTGAGGTGAAATGTTTGTTGCATAGTTAAATAGTTTTGCATGCATTTTCAAGAAACAGTTCTATACATAATTCACAAGATCAAAACACATCTGGTAACAACTTCTTTATGCGTTTTTTTTACATAGTTTTGCTGTATGTATTTGCTCGTAGGATGTAGCAGAGGTTTTGTTCGCCCCTGGTTTCTCCTATTTTTTGTCGGGTGTGCCCCATGATGTGTGTGTTTTTTCATGCTGTTTCAGCGCTGTAAAACATCATCAGGTTTGCAGTGGTCCGGCATATAGTTTTATGTTGATTCCAAACACTGGCCCAACATCAGTTGTGTCAAACAAATACTATTGAACAGGTTTCAACATGTCTCAACAGAAGGTTCGAAAATTTGCGGTGCATTTTTTCTACTGATACGGTGGGTATCACATCATAGCCCATCCATTGCATCTGGTCGACGCCCCAGGCACTTTCACCCAGCACGACTTGGAGCATGCAGAGATGGCCAATTTGAAAGATGAAGCCTTGCAAAAAGACGTTGTGAAGCTTGACTCGCTGATTTTGTGAGTTGTGAACATTGGGAAACTTGGAGGGGGGCAACCATGATAAATGATTGTGAAACCTCAAATGTAGCGATGAACACTCTTATTTTTTCCTTAAACATCTTAAACGATGTGTTTTTCCGCCACAGCAGAATTTGATGCAGGCACCTGGCCTTGATTTCATCACTGGTTGGTTTGGGCGTTTGGCAGCCAAAATTCTCATGCCCATGTTTTTTTTGGGGAGGCTAATCCGGTCAGTTCATCTATGGGTTGCATCTTATTCGCCGCTGTGGATGCCCCAAATCCCTGGTGATTGATGGTTGGGGTGGTGTTCCCAGGACATCTCCTTCATGTCGCACTCGCGGGGAAGTGAAAGAAAGCTGCTTAGCGAGGCAATCCAGGGATCACTTTAGAAGTTTTTGTTGTGAGTTGAAGCGCAAGAGTATCGGCCCAATGTGTTGGAGGTGCAGAGTTGTTGGTTTTGAATTTCTACTGTTACTTTTCTGACTAATGTTCAATGCCACATTGGCGGACGGCAGGTGTGATAGTGGTGATGTGCAACTTGTGCAACTGATCAAACCAGTGGATTGGAAGTCTTGGAACATCCTTTGAAGCAGTGCTTTCAAACACTTCTACCATCTTCTACCAATGTTGCGTTCAAGATCGTGTCATTATATCCGAGTATGCGATTCTGGAGTCCCCAAGTGTACAGCATGTAGTGATATCCTGTGGTGGCTGCCACGCAAATGACAGGGTGGTGAGGAGCCATTGGTTCGATCTCCTTTGTGCACTGGTCGTGGCTGGGTTTGAGATGGGCCCAAGCTTTGGTGGAGGATTCTTGCAGACATGGCACATGGTGCAGGAAAATCAATGAATCAAGACCAGTTGTCGGGTCATAGATCGATCGATCTATCGATAGATAGATAGATAGATAGATGGTCGTTAGGCAGATCGCATAGATACATAAATGCATAGATAGTACCAAGTGGCACCTAAAAGGGCAGTCATCTCCGTCCAATTGTCATTTTTTTGCATACCATATAAATATACAGTATATATATATATATAGATACACTTTGATATAGTGCTTATGTGTATACATGTGCCTACTCAATGTTCACGTATGTCAAGACTACAGAGTGATAGTAGACTCTACATATCAGGTCACACCCCACATTAATGGTAGACAGGGCCACAGGTGTTTTCGTCATACTTCCATAATTAGCGTTTACAGGCTTTTACAGGTTCTTCCATTCACGAAACAGTTGACTTGACCGCTCAATGGCGCGGTATCACATGCGCTGAGGTGATCTCAAATTCCATTTTTCTAGGGGTGGAAGTGGAGATGAGTATTTCATCGGGAGGAAAACGGAACCCGACCCTACAGGCCGCTGCTGTTTGGCGGATGGAGATGTGGGGCATCTCTGTCTTTCCTGGAGAATATCGTACACAGATGTACAGAGGTAATTTGATTTACAAGAAATCCTACCGCATGGGTCCGCATGGGGGATCATCCACTAACATCCACTAACTAGAAACATCAGGAGTTGATTTTGGAACATGTCACAGAAGAATTGGTGCGGGCCAGGCCATCCAGTACATTTACAGTGCATGGTTTCTGCTGGAATTGCTGGCCCGCATTGCGGTTGATGGTCGAAAGCTCTTTGTGGGTGAGGACTGCCAGCGACAATCATTTACGGTTTCCAAAAATGCGGGTACCCGCAAATCATCCAAATTAATACAATTTTAGTATTGAAACCTATGGTTTTGGGGTACCACCATTTCAGGAACATTCCTTTTGGATTCTGTTGCATTTTGCGGCTGAAGAGGAAGTGTAACACGATAGGAACCTTGGTGGAGTAGACCTGCACATACGTTCCACCAACTTAGTATATACACGGTATTACACGGTGTAGGAGATTTTCATCACTACCATGTCTTCTGACTCCCTGACCAGCATTGTATCCCCCAGGACTGGATGTGGGGATGGTTGGATGTCACAGTGGTCCTAACTTCTATTTGGGAGGTGCGAATCCCTCGAGTTGGGATCTTGGGTGCTATAAATTGGAAAATTTGATTTTTAGTGCAGGGATTGAGGCGATTTCACAAGCCAAAGACATCAAGTTGTCATGTAGGGGGTAGAAACATGTTGGTCAAGTTTGATCATCAGATACTTGCACGTTACCCAAAGTCAATGCTAAACAATTTAAACAATGTACTTGCAATTAGTTCCAGCATTATCACTCTGTCTGCTCTTCGGAGCTGCTTCCTTTACAGCTACGGGCCTTTGAACTACCCTGTAACTACCCAATGGGAGATATCCTGGGGGATCGACTTTCATTAGCAGCAAGGCTGCAGCCGATGCAGCTAGCTGCAGGTGACGCTTGACCTGATGTTTCTCATTGTTCAGACTGATGCAGAAGCTTGGTTGCATGTTCTCCACTGTTCATATTTTGTTATATTTTGTTTATTTTTCTATTATATACGGAGTTTTTTTTTTCACGGCAGGTTGTGGATTTTTTTTGTTGGTTCCTGGTTCTATGCTTTCCTGCTTCTCTGCTTTTCTGCTTCTTTGCTTCTCTGCTTCTCTGCTTTTCTTTTCCTGCTTTTTGCTTTTCTTCCTTCTCTGCTTTTCATGCTTCTCTGCTTCTCTGCTTTACCTGGTTTTTTTCGTTTCTGCTTCTCTGCTTTCCCTGCTTCTCTGCTTTTCTGCTTTTGTGCTTCTGCGCCTTTCTACTTTACTGTTCTATATTTTCTTTTCTTCAGTCATGTGTTTTGGCTGCTCTACTTCCTGCTGCTCTGCTTCTCTGCTCCCTATCTTTACTGCCTCTTGGTTTTTTTCTTTTATTTTGCTTTATTCTCTCCTTTTTGTATCCTAAATGAAACCCTAAAGAACCTAGGTGAAACACAAAGAAACCCTAAAGAAGTCCTGATAAGAACTCCTGATAAGAAACCCTGCATGAAACCCTAAATGAACCCTCATGAAACCATAGATTAACCCTAAAGAAACCATAAATGAAACCCTAGAGAAACCCTAAATGAAACCCTAAATGAAACCCTAAAGAAACCCTAAATGCAACCCTAAATGAAACCCTGAATAAACCCTAAAGAAACCCACATGAACGTTTGAAAATCCTGATAAGAAATCCTGATAAGAAACCCTACATGAAACCCTCAAGAAACCCCAAATGAAGCTCTAGAGAAACCCTAAACCTAAAGAAACCCTAAATGAAACCGTACATAAAACCGTAGCTGAAACCCTAAATGAAACCCTACATGAAACCCTACAGAAACCCACATGTACGTTTGGAACTCCTGATAAGGCACCCTACATGAAACCCTCAAGAAACCCTAAAGAAACCCACATGTACGTTTTGAACTTCTGATAAGAAACCCTACATGAAACCCTAAAGAACCCCCAAATGAAACTCTAAAGAAACCCTGAATAAACCTAAAGAAACCTTAAATGCAATCCTAAATGAAACTCTAAATGAAACCCTAAAGAAACCCTAAATGAAACCGTACATAAAACCCTAACTGAAACCCTAAAGAAACCCTAAATGAAACCCTAAACGCAACCCTAAAGAAACCCTAAATGAAACCCTAAAGAAACCCTGAATGAAACCCTAAAGAAACTCTTAATGAAACCCTACATCAAACCCTAAAGAAGACCTCAAGAAACCCACATGATCGTTTGGAAATTGTGATAAGAGATCTTGATAAGAAACCCTACATGAAACCCTAAAGACACCCTAAATGAAGCTCTAAAGAAACCCTAAATAAACCTAAAGAAACCTCAAATGAAACCCTAAAGAAACCCTAAATGAAACTCTAAACGAAACCCTAAAGAAACCCTAAATGAAACCCTAAATGAAAGCCTAAATGAAACCCTAAATGAAAGCCTAAAGAAACTCTCAAGAATCCCACATGAACGTTTGAAGTAGCAAAATGTAGCAAATACCATGCAAATGAGAGGTTGAAGTGTCAAAACGTGGCAAATACCATGCAAAATGGAAGGCACACATTGCCAAATGTAGCAAATAGCATGCAAAATGCAAAGTGACCATGCCAAAATGTAGCAAATACCATGCAAAATGACAGATTCTAGTTCCAAACTGTTGCAAATACAAGGCAAATGGTACCAGGAAAGAAAGCCAAAAAAAATCCAAAACCTGAGCCAAAAAAAAAACAAAAACTATTCTGAACCCTTTGTATAATATCAACATCTAGGCACAGAAGAGGTCCAGGTTCATGGCACGTTTCCAGACTATCAGCTACTCTGAGACTTGGATTTCCCAGCGGCTTCAGATCCATTGGCCCAATGGCACGGGTTCTTTTGGCTGGCCTCTGAGTTTCAACGAGCCACACCTTCTCGTTGAGGACGACGATTCCATGAGAATCCAACAATGATCAATGATCCATGATCATTATTCACTCAGATTTCACTATAATATTCACATCTATTCAGAATTCACACTATCAGTAGGCCATCCATGGCCATCCTCATGAGGTTTCGCCAACTTTCACCCTCTGACCGCTTAGGATGGAGAGGTCCCTGGCGTTTCAGGTTTGAAAGCTTTGCGGATTATCCGTATCACACGAGTGGCAACTTGGCCGCGGTTGCTGTGCCAGAGATAGGCAATGACGGGCATGGAGAGATGCGTGGGAATGGGGAGAATGATGCACGATATAGCATGATGTAGCCAACATATGAGGTCACCTTACGTTAAACTTATGATAAGAAACTCGTTTTTAAAATCGAAACAATTTCTCGGCTTCCATGGATTATGCAAGAAATCTGGGCTGTTGGGCAAAAGGTCTGGTTTTTAAATTAGGGTTCGCCATAATTCTTGAACGAGGGGGGTTCAGCTTACAAATCCTTTCCGGATCCCCTGGAGTATATTATATGTTATATTCGGATTTGGGTTTGCAATTGCCGGTTTTCCGAGCTATTATGCATGTGCTTGACAATTTCTGGTACATTCCCTTCCCCTTCTTGTTTTTATTCTGTTCCGCTCCTTCTTCGTTTTGCTCTTCTTATTCCTTTTGCTATCCTTTTCCTGTTTTGTCGATTTTTTCTCTTCCTTCTCATCTTCCAAGATTGTCAAGGCTCGCAGGTCTGCAACATATCTGAAACCAGGCCCCAACACTGACTGAAAACCCCTCTATGCCCAGCACCACCTCCTTTACCTTTTTTGTTAGTCTTGTTCCCTTCATTCTTCCCAGTCCTATAAGTACCTCATCCCCTCTTCCTGATCCATCTTCCTGTTCTAATCCGTTTTCTACATCTTTTCGTCTTCGTTTTCTTTGTTTGATATGATTCGGGAGAACTCGGGAGGATATCAAGCTACCCGTTTCAGGACGGTTGATTATTCATGCGTTTGACAGAGACATACCGTGTTCACCCATTGTTTTGTGGCCTGGCATTCCAAGTTTCAGGGACACTAGATGTCTGTCGAGGACGTTTGGTGTTGTTGTTTGCTTCCAACATCCCTACGGCCCTACTTCTACTTATTTTGTTCAGCTTTTGTTGAATAAATCGGTCACAATGTGAGCCTAATATCAAATCCCAGCTCATTGAATCTGCGTCCCCAAGGTGAAAGCAGTTCGTTTGATGCGTGTTTTTAGATTCGTGCCTTTGGCGCAGTGAGTGAACCTGGGAAGATCTGGGAAGTCTCCTGGGACATTCATGGCATCTGAGCTGTCAAGATCCCGAAGATTGCTATAGCAAACCAATGAAAAGACTTGGGATCTCTCAGTCTACCGGTGGTTGAATAATGTTGAAAGTTGAATGTTGTTTTTTGGGGGGATCTCATTGGCACCAGTTTCAGTTTTTGGGATGGGCAACTCAACCTGAAGTCGCTGCCGAGGTGATGGCCTTCCGGACTCTCATCACCTCTATTCTCTACACGTTCCTTAGCGCGAACACGCGGAGAATAAAATGCATGTCCAAGTATCAAGTCACAAATGCTAAGTTTGACCGGACCTAGCTTGAGTCAGGAGGAAAACCATCATTTCCTTCAAAGTCGACTTATGTTCAAGTGTTTGTTGTGCTAGTCCCATTTTAGTATTTCACGCTTTATATCTCTCTCTCTTGCAAACTCGTGCTTGCACTGCTGAACTGCCGCATGATTTCTCTGAGTGACTTTTGGGTGACGTGCTTTCTGAGAGTACATATCATGCCGCCTGGATTTCTTCCATGTTTCCAAGAGTTTGAGATCCCTCATCTATTCAAATCTGACATTTCTATAGTTCGTCGTTTGGGAGTGGAAAAGCATGTTTGGATCTCATCCCGCAATGCCGCAATTCCCCATTCTTGAAAGGACTCATCTCAGATCCTTCCAACCCCAACCCACAGCCACCAGCGTCAACCACTAGGCTCAAATCGTTGTTTTGGGCTTTGATGTTACTGTTTGTCATCGTGTATCTTGGCCCTTAACAGCCTCACCTTGCCAGCCATTGTGCCGGAGGGTCATAAAGATCTCCGTTTCATTGTTTTGGGTATGTCAGGAATCTGCGGAATCCAAGTTCCAACTTGACCAATTACAAATATATAATTAATATATATAATAGAATGGGCTAGCGCCCGGGTGCCGCCGACCCCCCTTCTGGGGGGTTGGGCTGAAGGTGGTTGGTGCGGTGCATGTTGGATTGATGATGATGAGGATGATGGTGATGATCATGATGATCATGATGGTGAGGATGATCATGATGATGATGATGGTGATGATGAGGATGAGGATGATGATGATGATGCCTACGGCAGGAAAACCGTACGTGCGTTTTGCTTCTTTTTTGAGTATTGCTCTTTGTCTTGGGGTTGGGGTGGGGTGGGGTGGGGGGGCATGTTAACGTTCCTTGTACTTCGTACATGATATATTGCCATGTTGCTAAGATCTCTGCGACCTTTTACTACGTTACGTGTTGCTACGCTGCTGAGATCTCTGAGATAGTTTCCTACGTTACATGTTGCTACGCTGCTGAGATCCTTGGGATCGTTTACTACGTGACATGTTGCTACGCTGCTGAGATCCTTGGGATCGTTTACTACGTGACATGTTGCTACTCTGCTGAGATCTCTGGGATCGTTTACTGCGTTACATGTTGCTACGCTGCTGAGATCTCTGGGATCGTTTACTACGTTACATGTTGCTACGCTGCTGAGATCTCTGTGATCGTTTACTACGTTACAGGTTGCTACGCGTTATGAGTGCCATAATGGCAACTTGCTGTCGAAGACAGCTTCCACACTGATGGATCGCTGAGCCGACGAAGAGTGTGAAAAAAAATATGCGCATCCACGTCTGATGCACATGGTGTTTACCTGGATTTGTTAAAAATCAATAGATTTTGCATCCACTTTTTTAAACCCAAATTCAGTTATCCAAACTGATCGGAAGAGCATTTTATATTGTAAATTACAGGTGATTGTGACTCTCCTGGAAACAACCAATCAAAACGCTCGCGCGGTTTCCCTTCCGCCGGGATGATGATGATGATGATGATGAGGATGGGGATGATGATGATGATGATGAGGATGAGGATGATGATGATGATGATGATTATGAAGATGATGATGATGATGATGGTGATGATGATGATGATGGCCATGATGATGATGACCATGATGATGATGATGACGATGACGATGATGATGATGATTATGATGATGATGATGATGATCGTGATGATGATGATGGTGATTCTGATGATTCTGATGATTCTGATGATGATGATGATGATGATGATGAGGATGATGATGATGATGAGGATGAGGATGATGATGATAATGATGATGGTGATGATGATGATGATGATGAAACTGACGAAACTGATGATGATGATGATGATGATTAAGCGTTTGAAGGGTTTGAAGGGTTTGAAGCGTGTAACGCCTGGCGAACGGCAGGCTGGATCGCCCAGAAGAAGCCATTGATGTGGCCTGGGGGTAGCTTTTGCCTGCGCGGTTGGGCGTTCCGAGACCCTTTTGCAGAGTTTTAAGGGTTTTAGGGGTTTTAAGGGTTTTAAGCGTTTAAGGGCTGGCAAACGGCAGGCTTGGACGCCCATAAGAAGCCATTGATGTGGCCTTGGGGTGCCTGTTGGCTGCGGGATTAGGCATGCCAAGAGCATGTTGAAGCGCTTGAAGGGTTTGAAGCGTGTAACGCCTGGCGAACGGCAGGCTGGACTGTCCAGCCATGGCCTTGGGGTAGCTTTTGCCTGCGCGGTTGGGCATTCCGAGACCCTTTTGCAGAGTTTTAAGGGTTTTAGGGGTTTTAAGGGTTTTAAGCGTTTAAGGGCTGGCAAACGGCAGGCTTGGACGCCCATAAGAAGCCATTGATGTGACCTTGGGGCGCCTGTTGGCTGCGGGATTAGGCATGCCAAGAGAATGTTGAAGCGTTTGAAGGGTTTGAAGCATGTAACGCCTGGCGAACGGCAGGCTGGACCGCCCAGAAGAAGCCATTGATGTGGCCTTGGGGTAGCTTTTGCCTGCGCGGTTGGGCGTTCCGAGACCCTTTTGCAGAGTTTTAAGGTTTTTGAGGGTTTTAGGGGTTTTAAGGGTTTTAAGCGCTTAAGGGCTGGCAAACGGCAGGCTTGGACGCCCATAAGAAGCCATTGATGTGGCTTGGGGCGCCTGTTGTCTGCAGGATTAGGCATGCCAAAGCGCTGAGGGCCTGGGAAACGGCAAGCTTGAACGCTTATGAGAAGCGATTGATGTGGCCTTGGGGTGCCCGTGGGCTGCTGGATTAGGCATGCCAAGAGAATGTTTAAGCCTAAGCGTTTGAAGGGTTTGAAGCGTGTAACGCCTGGCGAACGGCAGGCTGGATCGCCCAGAAGAAGCCATTGATGTGGCCTGGGGGTAGCTTTTGCCTGCGCGGTTGGGCGTTCCGAGACCCTTTTGCAGAGTTTTAAAAGTTTTAAGGGTTTTTGGTGGTTTTAAGGGTTTCAAGCGTTTAAGGGCTGGCAAACGGCAGGCTTGGACGCCCATAAGAAGCCATTGATGTGACCTTGGGTGCCTGTTGGCTGCTGGATTAGGCATGCCAAGAGAATGTTGAAGCGTTTGAAGGGTTTGAAGCGTGTAACGCCTGGCGAACGGCAGTCTGGACCGTCCAGAAGAAGCCATTGATGTGGCCTGTGGCCTTGGGGTAGCTTTTGCCTGCGCGGTTGGGCGTTCCGAGACCCTTTTGCAGAGTTTTAAGGGTTTTAGGGGTTTTAAGCGTTTAAGGGCTGGCAAACGGCAAGCTTGGACCCATAAGAAGCCATTGATGTGGCTTGGGGTGCGTGTTGGCTGCGGGATTAGGCATGCCAAAACGCTGAGGGCCTGGGAAACGGCAAGCTTGAACGCTTATAAGAAGCCATTGATGTGGCCTTGGGGTGCCTGTTGGCTGCTGGATTAGGCATGCCAAGAGAATGTTGAAGCGTTGGAAGGGTTTGAAGCGTGTAACGCCTGGCGAACGGCAGGCTGGATCGCCCAGAAGAAGCGATGGATGTGGCCTGGGCGTAGCTTTTGCCTGCGCGGTTGGGCGTTCCGAGACCCTTTTGCAGAGTTTTTAAGGGTTTTAAACGTTTAAGGGCTGAACGGCAGGCTTGGACGCCCATAAGAAGCCATTGATGTGGCCTTGGGGTGCCTGTTGGCTGCGGGATTAGGCATGCCAAGAGAATGTTGAAGTGTTTGAAGGGTTTGAAGCGTGTAACGCCTGGCGAACGGCAGGCTGGACCGTCCAGAAGAAGCCATTGATGTGGCCTTGGGGTAGCTTTTGCCTGCGCGGTTAGGCATTCCGAGACCCTTTTGCAGAGTTTTAAAAGTTTTAATTAAGGGTTTTAGGGGTTTTAAGGGTTTAAGCGTTTAAGGAATGGCAAACGGCAGGCTTGGACGCCCAAAAGAAGCCATTGATGTGGCTTTGGGGTGCCTGTTGGCTGCGGGATTAGGCATGCCAAGAGAATGTTGAAGCGTTTGAAGGGTTTGAAGCATTTGAAGCGTGTAACGCCTGGCGAACGGCAGGCTGGACCGTCCAGGTTTTTAAGCGTTTAATGATGTTTAATGGCTGGCAAACGGCAGGCTTGGACGCCCATAAGAAGCCATTGATGTGGCCTTGGGGTGCCTGTTCGCTGCGGGATTAGGCATGCCAAAGCGCTGAGGGCCTGGGAAACGGCAAGCTTGAACGCTTATAAGAAGCGATTGATGTGGCCTTGGGGTGCCTGTTGGCTGCTGGATTAGGCATGCCAAGAGAATATTTTTGCGTGTGAAGGGTTTGAAGCGTGTAACGCCTGGCGAACGGCAGGCTGGATCGCCCAGAAGAAGCGATGGATGTGGCCTGGGCATAGCTTTTGCCTGCGCGGTTGGGCGTTCCGAGACCCTTTTGCAGAGTTTTAAGGCTTTTAGGGGTTTTAAGGGTTTTAAGCATTTAAGGGCTGGCAAACGGCAGGCGTGGACGCCCATAAGAAGCCATTGATGTGGCCTTGGGGTGCCTGTTGGCTGCGGGATTAGGCATGCCAAGAGAATGTTGAAGCGTTTGAAGGGTTTGAAGCATGTAACGCCTGGCGAACGGCAGGCTGGACCGCCCAGAAGAAGCCATTGATGTGGCCTTGGGGTAGCTTTTGCCTGCGCGGTTGGGCGTTCCGAGACCCTTTTGCAGAGTTTAAGGTTTTTAAGGGTTTTAGGGGTTTTAAGGGTTTTAAGCGTTTTAGGGCTGGCAAACGGCAGGCTTGGACGCCCAAGCCATTGATGTGGCCTTGGGATGCCTGTTGCTGAGAAAGACAAGTTCCACACCTGTGGTGGTCCCAGGCGCCGCCCCTGCCTTGGCGAAGGCCGGGGCCGGCGGATTATAGAGTATTCTTTATGTGCACATATTTTAATTACCTATAATGTATAATTATATATATGGCTGCGGCTCAAAATGTAAGGTTCCGATCCATACCCCGGTACCACATGCGATCCATACCCCATGATCCATACCAAAACGCAGGTGATCCAGACCGATCCATACGTCCGGATCACCCGCGGAACGATCCATACCCGTTTTTTGAGCCATACCCATATATATATATATGTACACATATTATATAATATTATAGAATAGATAACCACTCTGAGCCTTCCGCAAACGAATATTTCTTGGCGATATTTGAAGCTGATCTCCTCAGCATGTGATTGCGTGATTTCCATGAATAATCATGAGTTCAACAGGAAGGAAATACGTGCAACCACTCTCGGGAATGCGAAACCTGAGCATGTAATATAGTGTTGTCAATTGTATTACATACATTATGCATGGTATGCATTCTCTTTTTGGTCAAGTTAAGTTCCCAAGTCTTTTTGGAGAGGTTGGCTCTTGGGGTGCAATTTCTGACAGCATACCCGGGTTGTCCCATTCAAAGTGTCATTTCGTACCCAAGCTGTTGGACTAACTGCCCAACGCCATGTCCCAGGTATGTCTTTGGAGTGCTATTTACGCAGGATTGGAACTGTGTCCACTGTGTCGGATTTGTGTGTGTGTGTGACTTCTTTCTTGGCTTCGGTCATACTTCTCTAGTAAAATAAATTGAACCACGAGACGCGAATCAAAAAGCATACATACCCAAATAAAAACACTGGGCGCAAAGATATTCTACGTATCAGTTGCCATATGTTAGATGCGTGTTCATTTCAGCTGTTAGGCTGATTTTGGATGAACAGGGCAATTCGCGGCAGAATTATCCAAGCTTCCTGGGAGGCGGTGACCGACAACGTCCGAGAACCAGCCACGCCAATGACGGAAGTCCAATTGCAGGTGGCAACGGGTCGATAGGGAATCCTTGGTACTCCCATACTTAGCAGTTCCATGATGAAATCCAAGGACGCGGCTGAGCAAGAGGGGTTCAAAGTAATTCATCATTTGTATCCTGAAGCTTAACCCCTTAATCCGCTGGCCCTGACGGCGAAATGCATCTCTACCTTGAGACGGACTGAATATATATATATATTATATAATATAATATAATATAATATAATATAATATATAATTGTATATAATTATATATAATTGGATTTAATTGTATATAATATAATGTAATATATATAAATGATTACACACATATATGATTATATATATGTGATTATATGTATATATATATATGATTATACATATGTGATTATATTTATGATTATATATATATAATTATATATATATGATTGTATTTAAATGATTATTATATATATATATGATTATATATATTTGATTATATATATATTATTATATATATATAATCATATATATATACATGATTATATATATAATCATATATTATATTTCATTTTTCATTATATATATATGATTATATATATATATTTATATGACTTTTTCATTCCTCATGGTTCCTGTCATGTTGGGTATTTGAATGGTGACTTGCTTTTGCACAGGAACGTCCATACTTGGTAAATTTGTTTACTAAGAATAATACACATCCTTTGGTCACCTCATGTTTTCAAGTAGGTTTTCTCACTACAAAACAGGTCGATGATGATAGCGGGCCTCGTGACCATTCAGGATTGAACATCTATACGGTGTATATATACATGTAGTTATAAGTTATATACAACTATAGCTACCTCCAGCATACAAGCGTTGTGGTTGAGGGTTGCGATCGGTTGCGATGTTTTTTCTCGCACTCCAGCGGGACTTGGGCCTTGGGTTGCTCTACTTTCAAACATGTTCTTGCTGCAAGTGGTGAGGTGTTCCCAAGCGGCAATGCGGACTTGTTACAGTTCAGATTTGTGGGTTTGACTGAAGATACGGCCACCCCAAAATCCTTGGGTTTATCAATGTTTATCACTGTTTATCAATGCTTATCATCATTTGCCCCATGCGGAGTTCCAACAGCCTTGCTAGGCATCTGAGAGCTTCAAATCCTTGGATGCCTGGCTGTCAAAGCTAGTGGACCAAGTGTTGGTTTGTAAACCATTGTAAACCATTATAGTTAAGCTTTAGAGTTGTTTGTAAACCTAGTATTGATGATATTGGGATGATTGTTAGCTTGGTTCATCATTGGGATTATTGTTGGCTTGTTTGTAAACAATCAATGGTAAACCTAATAATCCCAATCAAATTTATAAATATTGTTTGCAAGCTTGCATGTTCAGGATTGTTCAGGATATTTGCACGCAAAGCCAAAAAGACTCTGAAGGGTTGCAGGCGGTTTGCCGCCCACAGGCTTAATCTTAATTGCTATGAACTTGTTGGTTTTGGCCGAGGATGCTACCATGCTGAGCCTTTTCATGAGCATTGCTGGTGGTGCAACTGGATTGCAAACGGACCCCAGCCCCATCCGAGAATCCATTTTAAGTAATTTTATGTAATTTCAAGGAATTTTAAGAACCTTTTAAGTAATTTTAAGCAATTTGAACGAATCTTAAGGGATCTTAGGAGATTTTTAACCAATTAAAAAAAATGAAAATAAGGAGTTTTAAGGAATTTAAAGGGATTTTAAGGGGTTTCAAAAGATTTGAAGGAACTCTCAGGAATTTTAACGGATTTTAAGGGATTTGAAGGAATTTGACAGGAACTTGACGGAATTCGAAAAAAATGAACGAATTTGAAGGAGTTGGAAGGAATTTGCAGGATTTTGAAGGAATTTGAAGGAATTTGATGGAATTTTACGGAATCTTAAGGAATTTTAAGGAATTTGAAGGAATTGTAAAGAATGTTAAAGAACTTTTTCAGGAATTTTCAGGATTTTTAAAGACTTTGAAGACATTTTAAGATTTTTTTAAGGAATCTTAAAAAAGCTTATGGGTTTTTAAGGAATTTTGAGGGATTTCAAAAAAATTGAAGAAATTTTCGGGAATATGAAGAAATTTGAAGGAATTTTGAAATTTTTACGGAATGCTAAGGATTTTTAAAGAATTTTGACGGAATTTGAAGGAATTTTCAGAATTGGAAGGAATTTGAAGGAACTGTAAAAGAAATTTGAAGGAATTTAACGGAATTTTCAGGAATTTGCAAGGGCTTTTAAGATTTTTTCAAAATTTTGATGAATGGTAAGGAAATTTCAGGAATTTGTAAAGAAACTTTAGAGAATTTTAAGGAATTTTTGGTTGCTTTCAGGAATTTTAAAGAAGTTTCAGGAATTTTCAAAAAAAATGATTTTTAAATATTTAAAACATATTTTTTAAACATTCGTTGAAATGATTTTCAAATTGTTAATTAAAGGAATTTTCAGGAATGTTTCAGGATTTTTTAAGAAATTGAAAGAATTTGAAGGAATTTTTAGGCATTTTTTAAGAATGTTAAGGATTTTTTCAGGAATGTTAAGGAATGTTAAGGAATGTAAAAAAAAGGATTTTAAGGAATGTTGAGGAATGTAAAAGAATTTTCAGGAATGTTAAGGAATGTTAAGGATTAAGGAATGTTGATGAATTTTAAGAATTTTTCAAGAATTCTTGACGAAATTTTCGGGATCTTAAAGGTTTTTGAATATGTTTAATGATGTTTAAAGAGTTTTAATTTTTTTTACAGATTTTTAAGGAATTTTAAAGAATTTTTTAAACAGTTAAAGAATTTTCAGAAATTCGAAAGAATCGTGAATTTTAACAACAAAATCATGTTTTTTTTAACGAATTTGAGGGAATGTTAAGGAATTTTAAAGAAATTACAGAAATTTTAAGGGTTTTGATGGTTTTCAACGAATGTCAATAGGTTTTTTTTAATGACTTTTAAGGAATGTTGTTGATGTTTAAGGAATGCTCAGGATTTTTAATCATTTTTAAAGGAATTTTAATGATGTTTGAGCATTTAAAGGGTTTTTTAGAATTTTAAGGAATTTTCCGAATTTTTGTTTTTTTCAGAATTTTTCAGGAATTTTCAAGAACTTTAGTGAACCGGGGAGGTTTAATGGCATAGGGGGTTTGAAGAAAAGGAGACTATGATGGGTGATCAGTATAAGGGTATCAAGCAGAAATGGGAGATGGATTACGACGGATGTAGGTTCTTTTAAGTACCCCGAAACAAGCTTGTTGTGTTGCGCGCGCAAACCCATCGACAAGGGTTTTAACTAATTTCTAGGAGATCACTCATTGAGTAAGACGAACTAACATATATTCTGACCTTTTTTCTGACACAAAAATCTTACATATATTCTGACATGTTATTTCTTAAATTTTATTGTGGGGTACCAACCACCACCAACCACCAACTGATATCTATTCTGACATTTTACCTCTTGATTGTTTTATTTTTAATTTAAAGAATTATTCTTCTTAGGGTAAACATTGAACATCTAAATTGAATTTTGAATTGAATGTGATTCATTCTATCCTTCGTAGCGAGGAGTGTCTTAGTCAGTGGCAACACTTGATAAACTGTCCCAGTGGAAAGTATTTTGGGATGGCAACCGGCTGAGTAAAGATGTGGTACCTTGGTGTTTTTGAGAGGAAATCTTGTTTTTATTCAAACGTTTTATTGGATTAGACTAGATTTTCTGCGAATCCTTTTCAAAAAATCTATTTTGTCAAATGCATTTCAAATGCCAGTAGCACTGAGAGTGGTATTTATTTTGTTTCCTCACTGCAACATTGCTGCTCCTACAAACTTCTCTTTTGGTGAAGGGCCTTTAACTTGTAACTCATCATAATCCATGAAGAACATACATCCGTCGTAATCCATCTCCCATTTCTGCTTGATAGCCTTATACCGATCACCCATCATACTATCCTTTTCTTCAAACACCCCATGCCACTAAACCTCCCCGGTTCACTAACGTTCTTTTTTTCAAACTTTTGAAATTTTAGGGAATTTGAACGAATTTTAAACGTGTTTCAGGAATTTGAAGGAATTTGACGAAATTTGAAGGAATTTGAAGGATGAAGGAATTATCAGAAATTTGAAGGAGATGGAAGGAATTGTAAGGAAATTGCAAACATTGAAGAATTTGAAGGTTTTAAAAGATTTTCAAATTTTCGGGATTTTTCAAGAATTTTAAAGGAATGTTTGAAAAAATCAAGAATTTGAATGAGTTTTAAGAAATTTAAAGGAATTGTAAAAGAATTTGAAGGAATTTGAAGGACTTGTAAGGTATTGTAAGGAATTTGAAGAAATTTCGAATGAATTCTGATGAAATTTAATAATTTTAAGCATTTTAACAATGTTTTTTTTCAGGATTTTGAGGGTTTTTTAAAGACTTTAAATGAATTTTAAGGACTTCTGAGACATTTGAAGGAAATGTAAGAACTTTAAATGATTTGTAAGAAATTGCAAAAAAATTGAAGGGTTTTTTTTGAATTTGAAGGAAATTTTAAGGAATTGGAAAAATTAAATGAAACTTTGAAAAAAATCAGAGATCTTAAAGGATTTTGAGGCTTTTTAAATGATTTTAAAATAACTGAATGATTTTGAAGGAATTTTTAAGATTTTTTCAGGAATTTGATGCAGTTTGATAGAATTTTAATGGATTTTCCAGATTTTTAAGCAATTTAAATGAATTTGAAAAACAATGAATAATTTTGAAGGAATTTTCAGGAATTTTAACGAATTTCAAGGAATGGTAAGGAATTTTAAACAATTTTTAAAAAAAGTTAAAGAATTTGAAGGAATATGAGGGACATTTAAGGAATTGGCAGCCAGGTAAGCAACTGTAGGACAATTATTTTGCTGGAGAATTCCAGAATGCAATGCCAATGCCGCCAACGCAAGTAATGTGAAACTGGTCTGACCATTCTGAACTATGACAATCGTTGATGCCGCGAAGGTGAGTTGGGGCGAAGTTCTGCCTGCCTTGAAGGCGATCAATGACGCGTGGGTTGGCCTCTATTTGTTGCTTGGAAGATCTTGGAAGATAGTCGACCTATGTTGAGCTTAGTTGGTGGTTTCGACACCAATTCAGATTTTGGAGAGGTTACTCTTTTCTCTTGGATGATTGGGCCATGTTGATACTGTATGTTTTTTCTGTGAAAAAAAACAGCACATCTTGCAACACGCAGAGTGGTGTATTGACCCAAGATGTTGGGAGCCCCTCCTCATGACCAAAATTTCATCAGGTGCAATGTTTTGATCGTAATGGACAAAAAAGGGATAAACATGCATCTCAACTTATATAATTTACCCAACACCCCCCAAATATGGTCGAAACCGACCCTTGCAACCCCAAAATGTAGTCCTTAGTTTTCTCATTAAATACATCAGAATGGCAATCTGCTGGTTTACCCCATTTCTGATCATTTCTGGGCAAACCGAACGATTTTTTTTCCAAAGGTTCTACATTGCTCCTCGCCAGCATTTAGTGCTGGAAAGGTGGTGACACTTGTTTTGCAAAGATTTGCTGTTGGATAGGAAGGGGGCTTGGTGCATGTTGCCCAAGTTTCGGGGGGGCCAGTTGCCAATATCCAATCTCAAAGTTTCGGATTTGTTTGTGCCATTTTCCCTGCAAAGAATCAAAGAACCTGGGTCGTCAAAAAAAACAAGGTCCTTCTTCAAAGAATTGCTGCCTCCACTTTGCTTGGGCTCGTGTTTTGTTATCTAGGTTGTTCAGGTAAACGTTCTTAACCAGAATTTAATCGACCATGCCAAGTCTATCGGCGCTTGCAAATATATGGCTCCAAAAAGAAATATAGCATGTAAGATCATACTGATATACTGTAAGAGCAACAAGTTTTAGGACTAGAGTCCAGCTATATAGATAAAAATCTTAGACGGAATGTCAGAATGGTATGTCAGTTGGTGGGGATCACACGAAGTCGTTTTTTTGTACCCTTCAGGCATCTCTCTAAAGAATCCAGGGGCCCGGGTTGCACGGGAGAATCTGGGGTCAATTTAGATCCCCCCTTTAAAGCTGGAACATTTTTTGGGGGGGTAAGACGTGAAATTTCTGAGAAATATTTCGCCTGATCACATGAAATATACACCTCTCCCACACTTTTTTTGGACTTCCAAAAGAAGTGGGGGGGGTCCTCCGGATGCCAGACTTTATCCTAGATATGTCAATTGGATATATAGTTCAAAAAAACAAACAGGGCATGACTTCTGCGAACTCCTGCTCCTGGTCTTTGAAGAGTCTTTGAAGATACTCAGAAACGGAATCCTACTGCTGCAATGGAATTTGTGGGGGGGGCTTCTAGAGCTGTAAAATACAATGGCTTTGCACCTTCCCCCCTCAAACATTTCACAACCAAAATTTTGGGGAGAGAAAGAAACATGAAAATGCTCGCTTCAGCCGGTTTGCACGTACCTGGCCACATCCACAGGTGCCCGTTCATGCATAACTGACAGCGCTAAGATTTTTCATTGCCTTATTCTACCGTATCTAAACCAGACATTTTTAGCTGAAATATTTCTAGGTGTGTGGGGGGTGACACCCCCTTTTGAAATATTTCAGTTTTTACCCCTCCTGTAAGCTAGTTTTGGGGACGTGTCTACACAGTGCATACACTTAGCATGATACGTGACATGTTAACCTTAATTCACTTCATCCACTGCGCCACTCCGTGGCTCAAGACTTGCTGGCATAGCTATAAAAAGAATGCTGCGCTCCGCCTGTTGACCACAAGTGTCAATAGCTGTTTAGCTAGGATCCAGGGCCCCTAAATACCGGGGATTGCTACCTCACCCCCCCGCGCCCCCTTAAAGGGCGGGATCAATTTAGTTTCCCTTCCCAACATGCGTTTTCTATGCGGCCCATTGTCGCATGACGACCGTGCTTCTGATGACGACCGTGCCAAGCTTACTTGCGGGATATTTTTCACGGTCATACCTTACACACTCTTCAAACATGAGTAAACGCGGTGCATCGTTTTCTCAAAACATGCCCCTTGCCAACTTGGTCAAAGCTGGGCGTTGGTGCCTCCTTGAACAAACAGTTGGAGCAGATGTCCCGGCTCCGCATCGCACCGTGGACTTGGCGCCATGTGCCATCACAGATAAAGTTGTTAGTCTTAATCCTGCCCATCGCGAATTTGACCCCGCAGCAGGTTTGACGAACCATCGCCTCCATGATGGCTTGCCGCGTTCGCATTCGTTTGACAAGCATAAAAATAATACCAAGCGAAAAAGCGAAACGACAGTGTCATGTGTTCTGACGTTGTTTATTGTGAAATGCGTTGTAAAGCCGCGCGTCGACTTTCAGACAAACTCTTCACACAGTTTTGCAATCCTGACAGGTGGCTATGTCAGCCGAGCATCCTATTCCAGGGGATCCGTCTGTTCGGAGCTTTGCTCCCATTGACAAGTGGTGTCATCTTGCGACCACGGGTTCTGGACATGCCCAAATGTCCCAAACCTTAAGCAGCGGCCAGACAAGCCCTCGTGCCCCCTGCAAGCACGCTTGGGATGGCCAAGTACCGAGTGACGCTGTCTTTGCATGGCGGTGCCAAGTGAGAAAATTCAGCTCAACCAACATTATGGGCCCCCAACCTAAGCTCGAGCGCTACTCCTTTCCGTTTTCCGAACCACTCATCGCGGTTTTAATCCTCTTGCCCAAAATACTCTACTACTAGGACATCTTGTGTATTCTTGTGTCTTGACAGTGACAACATGCTTACCGGCCTACCAGTGCATCCACTGTGAACTTCTTCATGTCTTGGCCCCTTTGCGGGCCTACTACAGAGCGGCGTTACGAGTGGGCGCCGGTCTACATAAATGCGATCCGTCTCGACCGTGCCAGGCTTTTACCTACTTCGCGGTCCTTAATGTGGTAACTGGCGTATTTTGCCAGTAGCTTGTCCGCATTTTGTTGCCCACTGATCGTTTCTTCTCTGTGGTCTGGATGTGAATTTCCGCCAAAAAACATCAATTACTGTAATTCTGATATTGGGGAACAGGATTTGTGTCCAGCTGTTTCCATGTCACATGCGTGCGCATCGAACTCCATGGGTTGGGTTTGCATCTTTTGAATTTCAGTTTGGATGCGCTGGAATCCCATCACTAAGCGTTGATTAGGGTTTAAAGAAAAGAACTTCCAAAAAGAAAGAAACCGCCAATTTGTGATATCACCCATGTGCACGCACCAGGTCGGCTATCGAATCTGCGCAGAACGACCACACAACAGTGGTCCATTCCATCTTGAAAAACAAGGAATGCGGAGGGCAAGGATGCGGTCATTTTTGGTCGCGAACATGTTTCAATTGCCCGATCGAATTTTTGCATGATATTTTGGTTCGAAATGGTCGCTTTGCTTCGGGTTTTGAACCCTTAATTGTGTTTCGAAGCATGACTTCTGGGATCAACACTTTGGACTCCCTGACCCTGAATTTTGAAGGTGACTGTTTTCCCTGTTGGATTGTTTTTTGCAATTGCTGTACACAAATGTTGCTGCACGTTTTTTTTTGAGACCAGTGTCGCTGAGATTCACTGAGTGTTTGTTTCAGCTGACCATGACGAGACAAATGGTTTATATAGTGTTTGATTCTCAGTGTTCACCCGTTTCTATGAATCGGGATATTTTAAAGGACCCCAACTACTTGGTACAGAACAAACGCAATCAAAGAAATCCACTGGGTTCAGTAGTTTAGTAGTGCAAGTTGGTGCAGTTATGAATATAAGTGATATTTTTTTTTTCAGAGATCAGTGATGGCAAGTGTTTTTTGTTAGAAGTATGTCGACAACTGGTGAAAAAGGGTCGGTTGCTATGTAGTGAGTCCATAGGCAGGGGACTGGGCGACGAACCCCGCGCACGCCAGGAATTGCATTTGAACAAACTTAGAGATTTGTTTAGCACCTTGGAAGGGCATATGTCTAGGACCAAAAAAAAATGTAGGTAGATGGAATATGAGTCCCTGTTTTAATTTGAATATACCCTCATTAAGAAGCGGCTGTGCATAAATTGAGGGCCCGGAGGGCCCGGAGGCAACAAATCCATCAGGTGGAGTGAATTGTCAGCAACAGATGTGGGCTTGACAGGATCCGTGATCACACCTGATGGAAACCTTTGTTTTAGCGAAACTATATGCATGTTTGGGATCTGTGTTGGTGTCGGATAAAGCCTGTCTTCGGTTCCACTCCTGTCCCACTCAATTCCCTCGAACCTGTTGCATCTAGTTTAATTTCTGCCTTGAGAATCATCTAAGATGCATTTTTATATTCTTCAATCATATTCAGATGTAAAAATGTGACGATGTTCCAGACTTCTGTGCTCCTGAGATGAAAAGCCAAGATCACCGAGGTAATCTGGGTGATGGCGGTTTAGAGGCCATCACCTTCGCAGCCTTCGAAGAAAAGATCCGTGGCCGAGGTTGTCTTGTGGGGGATATGCATGGATATGCCGTTTCATGTGTTTTAGTGGTTATTAAATTTGATTATATATACATATATACATGCTATAATAATTTATGATATTACTATGCTTAACACTATGTCACATGGATATCTTACGTTATTTACATATACACATATTATAACAAATTGTTGATATCCACTAAAACACAAACGATGTGGTGGTATTTTGAAACGCATAAAGGATGATAAACCATGTAGTTTTTTGGGTTCCTCATTTTGAGATAATCTCATCTCATTGTAGGTATTTGGCATCCCTGATTAATTTATCGAAGGAAGTTTAGAAGTCAAACTTCCGACAATATGGACAGATGAAAAGCAGAGCAGGGAAGAGGCAGAGAGAAGAGAAAGATTAGAAGAAAGAAGAGTGGAAGAGAAAGAGTTAGAAGAAAGAAGATGCAGATGTGCGAAAAGGTAGGAAAGTCGCGAAACACTGTGTTTTTCCAATGATTTGTGGCTCCGGAGGGTCGAAAAGTAGGCTCGCCAAAGCGGCGG